GCCTTGCGAATGTTTCACAAGAAAGTTTTGTTCACAACCCAGCATTCTTGGGAAATAATTCACAGTATAACATCATCAGATGCGAGATCCTTTCAAATACCGCAGCTGTGTCTGGAAGAGAAGATTCAGTGCGGTGTCAGTCGTCTAACTGCTACGTGCAATATAAACCCGCGAAGGACTGGTGCATTACAAAACCTCTTCATGAGTCTGACACGTCAGTGATAATAGGCTAGACAGCCAGAGAGCAATGACGCCTGATAAGTAATACCTTGTGACTGTACGGGATTAACTTTCAAAAGGGATCATGAACAAAAGGTGTGAAAGGAGAAAAAGAAACAGGAAAAGACCTAAGCCTGAGCGGACACGACCCTACTAGAACAGCGCGATTATACAGCGTGACTGCATTTCCAGCCGTATTCGAAATTTTTATCATCACGTGAGGGGCCAGCACATGTGTTATCTTGATACTTGTGTTAGATTAATCAGAAACTCTCAAGAAGGAAGAGGGGAAAAACACTCAAGCACTTCTTATTGATTTCTTTTATCGACCGCATAATGCGGAACTAATCATAACAAGCCGACCAATTTTTTTTTCAAATTCCACCATCAATCGAGGCAAAGTAGAGAATGCGGGACGGCAACCTATTTAAGCACTTTTCGTGTGAGGTATTAATTCAGCTCACGGCACTCAAATATTATGCTTTTCCAAGAGTGCTCAAATCTACTCATGGTGGCGTTGCTCACTTATAATAGCTCAGCACCTACATATAAGCCCGTTCAATCGCTGTGACTTGAATCATTGTATTTTATGGTCACTGCCCTTCGTGGCAATGTGAGGCAAGGGTTGGGAATATCCAAAAAGCCCAATAAAAAAGTTTCTGAGATTTCACAGAGACATTTCAGCTAAGCGTATTTTTGGTGCATTGTACCGATATTTCATTTTTAACAATAACACAGTTTTTGTATAAATCGCTCACCAATATCCACAATCCATAGTCCTTCTAAAAAGGGAACATCCTTTAATCATTCTCCTTCAACTGGAGAAAACAATAAAGTCAACTGATTACTGTCCCTTTGTTCAGAGAAGTTCGTATTTGCCTGGGAGAAAAATAGCTGTAGGTGAAACATCGGCATGCCATTCGTGCTTATGAAATGTAACAACTTCGTATTCATCGCAACTCATTTGTGTAGTCAGCATACATTTCTTCACCTCAGCAACTACCCGAAGGCGATTATAGCATGGAACGCTATTAAATTTACAATTTTTTTTCAAGTATTTTCAACACTGGTCGATGCTGAATCCTTTCAGAAAGCAATAATGCGCCTCCTTATACTAGCTGTGTTATGTGGTCTTGCCACGGCGGCGGTTTACCGGCATCCAATGCTGTGGAAGAAATCAAGAAAGGTGAGCAATTATAATTATATTAGTTCTATATTAAGTTATATTATATGTATATTATAGAATTATTAAAAAACATCTGGGACGGTAGCAAACCTTCATTAATTCAGACTTAACGTGTCGAGATTAGCTCAGACCAAAGTCAGTTTAGATAACTGGTTCAGAGCGCTTCTCAACACATTAAGTCTTGTTTAACCTACAGTTAGATCATAACCAAAAAAACCAATTTGACTTTGAAGTTAGACAGTTAACTTGTAAACCTAATTCCTAACTAATCAGAGAAAAAAAATACTGTGGGGTTGAGGAGACGCAGAGGCCACGTTGATCCTTCACTAAAAAGTACTCCGAAGCACTTTTCACTGGAGGGTCATACGTGTCAGACGTGGTGACTGCGCCTCCTCAATCCCGTGCTCTTTTTTCTTCTCTGACCAGCTCAACCTGTTAGGAATCAAAGAATGCAGCTGCGATCCATAATCTTCAGGTACTTTTGCAACCTTTTTTTTCTTATTTATTCGTTTCCTGATATTTTGTCGTCTGAAATCTAAAGTAGGAAGCTCTTGCTTGATCTGGGCTGGATCGCACTCTCCATTCTTTATTCTTTGCTTAGAATCTCCGATCGTTACTTCTGATTGCGAGTTAAGGGTACTTTGCTACCGTCCCTTGAAAAACTGGAGTTTTCACTTTTGCTTGATGGCACTACTCATAGCCCTGTGTAGATCAAAAGCCGAATAGGGGGCACTCCATTGTTTCACCAATATTCAGGATAAGAATATGGCGCTTATGTCCTGTTATTAATTCCAAGCTCATATAAATTGTACCTCAATTAAACTTTAAATAAGTTACCGACCGTAATGTGGAAAAACTGGTGGTCCACTTTGGCCTCCAACGGCAAAGGAAACGTCCATGAACGAGGGGCGAATGCGAGATTTTCTTCGGACTAAAGCGGGAAAGGTCCAAGGTGGATGAAATCGTTGCAAAAAGTTTAGGAGAAGATGTGCAGGTAATTGTGGATTAGCAATCCAACGTTCATTACTCAAAATGCGCTTCGAATTAGCCATTCACATAATTTATCTTATCCCATACTAAGTGTGAGAGAAGCCCAAAGAAGATACTCTCTAAGATAATATATTGCAAGGAATTCCTCCCTCCATCCAAAATGCAATCCTTAGTCCTGCAATGCGCATTTGGAAAGTTGCGATCATATTCCCATATGATTTAGAACGGAAAAAGAGAAGAGAACGAAGTCTGTGTAATTTGATTACCTAGTGTCTTTTGGTTTGCTGCACTACATATATGTTTGTGGGGGCGCTTTTGCGGCCGTGCAAATAAAAAACGAATAAGATTTTCCACGCAGAAAGAGGATAGAAATCAAAGCATTCGTTTAGATCCAAATGATTGAACGAGGAGTCTACGCCCAGTACCTTCAACGCCTTGAATCTCTACGCTATGTTATGAACCTTGACACGATGGGACAACGGGTTGGTGGTTCGTAATTAAAAGTTTCCTAGAATTCTGGATGTTTTCAAAAAATAGATAGATATACATATATAATTCAAAATACGAAGATACATAATAACAATGGATAAATTGAATCCTCACTCCTAGAACTGTTTTGTGTGCGGTTTCCATGGTTAGTGGCAAGGGGATCGACTCTCACTTTGAGATGGTTAAAACTCGCCAGCCGTTGGGCTGAGATGATTCCGTTCAAATGTTGAGAGGGGATGATCTTGCAAAGAATCCACTGACAACGGCTAACCTTTTAAGAAAACATCCTTAAAACTCGACCATAGGAAGAGAGGAGAAAGCACAGTGCAAAGTAAATGTGCCGACTTTATGTCACAACATTTCCCAGACCTCACTCTTCTCAGGTAGACGATTACGCGGACTACGAGTACGTAGGAAACATTACCATCGGTACACCTGGTCAGCCGTTCGTCGTGGTACTTGACACCGGTTCTGCTAACCTATGGGTCCCACATACAAAATGCGAGTGAGTATTCATAAGTGATCTTTTTGATTATTAGCGCAGCGGCTGCAATTATCAAGTACATCAGTTACATTGCACTAGCCGGCAGTGAAGCGAAAATACTGTTAGTTTTGTGTGAAAGTCTACTAGAGAAGGAAGCCTTTGAAAAAAATGAAAACAGAGCTTGTCTACATCCAAGCAATCGGCTAGTACAAATACATACTTAGCGATCAGATGCTCTAGAGAGCAACTCTCCGTGAGTGAGGTAGAAGGTCTCTAAACACCACCGATCATATTGGATTGCTGATGTGTTAGGGCAATTCTGGCCTTGTCATTGGGCCTACCGGCCGGCTTTTTCGCCACGCTTGTTCTAATCTTTCCATCTTCAGCGGAAGCATTGTGGCTTACTGTAGACGTAGCATAGTTTCGTTGAGTTCGTGAACCTTTAGGAGGATAGCGAGCGGCACAAACGGGCAGCAGGCTGGGTGGACCGTTTCCTTTAGTCTGACAGGGTTGTGATGCCTTCCGCGCTAAATAATGGAGCGCCCAGAAAAGGGCTGCAGATCTTAATGAAGCTTCAGCAGTTAAAGGCAAGATTTGTGCTACAATAGGTGTGGAAAAGCGTCCAGTTATGAAGCTAAAGGTGGGAGATGTCGTCCGAAAAAAAGGAAAGCAAACGAAACCACCCGATTTTGCCCAGGACAGAGACCGCCCCTATTTCACCTGTATTACACCTTGGACGAGCTTCACCAACTTAACTTCACTTCCTCTAATGGCAAGGACTTTGGGGCCGCAGTAGGACCGCTGCATCAAATGTGCCCACGATTTTCAAGTGGCGCCACGTGACAACCGCCTTTGTCGCTCTTTACTCAAGCGGCAGAAGCGGACCGCCATCAACGCTTTCCGCTGGCTAACTATCCCCACGATGGAACGGCGAGCTCGGCAGTCCTAGAGCGCGTGCCCTCGAATTCCCCCGTCTCGGAACAATGTGCTGGCGCTCTTCCGTCGCTGGCCCTTTCCACCTCTTCTGTAGTGCTCAGAACGGTAACCAAACCCTCATACTTCGTGGGTTTCGACAATCCTCTGTTCTTTCTGGACTATCCATCAAATTTCCAGCAAGTGCTTCCACCCGCATGCAAAAATTACATCAGTTTGATCGAGGGGGCTTGCCTCAAAGTGTCATCAACCAGCATTATCCAAGTTCAACAGGTCGACCCGGCCAGGCACACCCGATCTGAGAACAGATCCATGATATGCCTTATTTTCGAAAATGGTCACCTGGAAATGGGTCATAACCAGCAAAAGTATCAGTGTAGTGCCGCACTCACTCTTGGGAAGGTGGTGCGAATCGACTGTCTATTGCCGCCGTGGGAGCCACTTTAGTAAGCTCGTCTTTTAGCAACCTCGTACACTAGCAACGTGTGGAAGAGTATGCGAGAAGTTCAAATTTATTTGGCTGCCCACGGCGCACGAGTGCCCAAGTTCAAAATCTTGCGTAGGAAATATACCTCCATACTCTTCCACTAAAAATTGTGCAAATGCACTTTAATTTGTTGAAAGACCTTCTCAGGAATTAAATTGTTGGCAAAGACCTTCCTCCAATCATTTAGGGTTTGCCTATTCAATAGAGTGTAAAACTCGCTCAGAATCGATCCCATTACTTCCGAATCGGAGCATTAACATAGCGTTATTCTGCTTTAGAACTCCGTTCAAAACGTTCCACTCGCAATTACCGAAAGCAGATTCCACAAGCCAGCGGTCTTGGAAGACTGCATGGCACCTCATTTGAAGGCCGGATCGACCGTCACCTCCTCCGTTGTTAAGAAAAATGAGCCCGAAAATTCTTCAGCTTTCTCCTTCTTACATTTAATATTAACGAGAAGCTCATGCTCACTTGTATAAAAACATAGGAGAAATTCCAATTCAGTCGATCGTGTTTCGGAAAGCACAAGTTTACGATGGAGCAATCCAGCAGTTTTGTGAAAAGTAGAGAAAGATGGAGGATACAGTACGGCACTGGAGACGCTGAGAGGAGTGCTCGGCACTGACATCGTTAGAGTGAGTGCTATCTTTCATTGCAGAGTGATCCCACCTACTCTTCATATCAGAGTCAGTCAAAGTTCGACGGAGTGTACGGTAGTGCCTATGTCGTATGTTTCCGAAGGGAGGGGTCGTACTTGGGTGAAATGGGTACACACCTTTTTTGAAAGTTCTGAAGAAAAGAAATTTTCGGTGAAGGAAGCGTAATATTTGAAATTTTGAGAAGAATATGCAGTGTCGACACGTGACCATTTCACATGTACCGAGCTCTTCTCCCTTCTCCCACCCCCACATACGCACCCATTTCATAGTTTTTGTGAGTGGAAGTGTGTCTTGTAGCAATAGAACCTACAGGTCAACAACTAAGAGACAAACCTTAACCCATTCGGCGACCGGCGGGAATTCCAAGGATCTACCCGTTTAGGACCAGACGCAGTAGAGGACTCTCAAGAGCGTCTTTCTCCAATAAAATTGAGGTGGACCAGAAATCTTCTTCGCTTCAGGGCGCCGCGACGAAATGGAGGATGCACAGATTCTTCAGGAAGACAGGAATTACAAATTTTTTCCCCCAAAACTGTGGGCGAGCCCGGCAGCACGCGTGGGAGTAGCCACCGGTAACTGCTGTTGTCACACATAGGTTAATCATCACATTTTCAAACCAACGCCCAGACAACTTTTCTGTAAGATCATTCAACGAATGGGTACACCGTTTCTGGGTTGTGTCAGGGTCAGTCGTGCCGACTAACCTCAAAATGTTTATGCATATGAAAGCTGCACCGGGAGAAATACGGGGAAGTGGTTCTTCACGAAGGTATTGTCGAGATTCTATAAATTTCTCAACATTTCTCCTTGTCATCGAAAATGCAATTTTGCTGACTCTCATAAGCTCCTACTTCTTCAAAAAGTTTGCGACCCACTTTCAGGGCAATCTCGGTACTCCTTCCACCCGATCACCACCCTCCCTATAATGGCTATTTGCATAGTATTTGAATCTGAGACCAGCCCGACCTCGCCCACTTTTCCCTTCCCGGCTGTCGAGGTCGAGCGGGAGGAGAGGGGAAACAAAACTTATCATCAAAAAGCCCGTCAAGCCTACCTCTCCGTAACCACGACTTCTTCAACCTTCACAAATACGACCCTCTTTTTGACCTTCAGCTTAGCCGACCCAAATATCACTCCCCCGACCAAAATCACAGAATCTTTGGTACTTGTACCAACACGTAACCCTACCCTAATGTCGCAGAAAACTTTCGAGGGTCGTGATGATAAATTCGCATGATGGACCTTAGTCCGTAGTCAATACTTTCTCACCGAGAAGTCATTTGGCATAGAGGTTTTTTTTTCAAAATGGCTTGCTGCATGTGATAGGGAAACATGTATGGAGCATGCAGACGAATTTCATTTTTTTCTGAGCGGCCCCGTTTTGTAGAAAAAAAAGAACGCTGGATATCTATTTCAATTTTAACACATTCACGCCGGCCAGCCCATATGGCCTGCCAAGAAATTGTGCTCTGGGACGATGGCAGCCCATATGGGCTGCCAGCTGATAATCGCTTGCCAGGCGCTAGGAATGGAAAGATAGGTGGGTAAATCTCGTAATCGAGTGTAAAATGCTTTTAAATTCCTTCACGGGGAAAGTGAATAAATGCTCTCTTTTCGTAACCACTATTCGTCGTTTTGATCGAAATCCTACTGTTATATGTTTAGATAATCTTTACGCATTGGACATTGCAGAAATTATTTTGTGACATTCATGTTTTTGTTCATTTACAGTACAAAATCTGCGGATGTGAGGTGAGGCGGCGGCGCCCACAAAATCGCGTCCGTCGCGACCGAAAAGTGGAAAAGGGGCGTCGTCGTGAATGTGTTAAATTAATTAATTACTTATTAACTAAATTTAGATGGTCCGCGTTGGTAAGGGAACTGTCTAACATATACAAAAACGTGTTGAGAAAGCGCTCATCGTCCCAAACGATTATCCCTGGAAATTTGAGCGGAAATTCGAGGCTGTGTTGCACTATAAACAAAATGTTTTAGTTCGGTGGTGAAGACGAAGTTCAACTCGCCGTACCTCAGACCACATTCGGCTTAGCGACGCATATTTCGTCGGATTTCAGAACTGTGAGTGGATAAGGTTTCTTGAGAAATCAAATATTATGAGAAATCATTGGCACCTCTCATTAGAGGAAATGTAGTGTACGACACGATATGCTTACATAAAATGGACACAATTTTCGCCTCAGGACCAATGACGTCAGTTCTCGTCTCGCTTTCACTTCACTCGCCGAAAACAACGTTGTTCCACCGTTAATCAATGCTATTGATCAACGTGAGTAGGTTCGAATTCATGAGACATTACTAGAAGAATAGAACTCGACGCACTAAGCAGGTTTCAAGATTTGCGACCCATAGCGCAATTAGGATACGCATAGGAATTGATCGCAAAGACTAACACCTGCCTCACGTACATTTGTGGATCTCTCCGGGAGACCTGTATCTTCTCAGCCCCAACTCTCCATTTGTCGCTTTTCCTTGGAATAAATGCATGAATCTACATATTCGACGCGGCTATAGAAGGAGCCAATCTATGTGCAGTCAAATTCGGCACTATTGCATTATTACAACCCCAGTGGGGTCGAGATGGGTCAAAAAATAATTTTCGCTGAAACTTTTGCTATGGGGGTTATAGAGGGTCCTTGATCACGAATATGACATCCTTTTTTGGCGCCAGCTGGCGCCACTACTGATTATCACCAAATTCGCTGTAAACTTCTGAATAGGGGCTATTTGGGGCCCTGATCACGAATATGACACTGGTTTTCTAACATTCGTGTTGTTTAACGCATATTTTCTGGTTTTCTAGGCTTTCTCACCTATGGCGCCTAGGACTAAGCTTAGGGGAGGGGAGTGAAACTCCGGAGTGGGTGAACCGCGCACCGTGTGGCAAAAGTTGGAGTGTGTTAGACCACAGGGGAGTGCCCTACTCACTTTGGAGCCCTCCACTATTCAAAGGCTTAGTCCTGATTGCGATCTAATTAGTGCGAGGGCGCAGACGAGCAGGAAATAGGCGCCGAATAGCGCTAACAACAAAAACGAATGTCATATTCGTAATCAGGACCCCAAATAAACCCCTATACAGAAGTTTACAGCGAATTTAGTGGGAAGTCGTGGCAGCGCCACCTAGCAGCGGCTTCCTGTTAAGTTGTGGGTGAGTCTCTACAAAGTCCCCATCGCCTAGTCTCCTAGTGATGGCTTCAGGTAGGAAGGCAGCTGCCGCTTACTTTTGCCCTTGGCCGTATCAGACTTCTAGCCAAAGCAAAGTTCTCAGTAGAGGTGTGAGCAGAACTTGCTTTTGAACAACGAAAAAGAGCTCCGCGTTCCCTTAGCACAGTGTCACGATTTTGGCGAGCAGGTTGACATTATATTATATCGCTTGAAGGCTCAGTCTGGGCTTCACATGCGCGTCCTCCTGGTATGGTATGGAACATTGGAGTGAACTGAAGATTCGAAGTGCGCCCGGACTCAATCAGCGAAAGGCATGGTATCTCTCTGAAGACAAATCATAAGATCACCATCCATGTGTATTCATTATCAGTATAGTATGAAACCACCTAATTATCGATTCGATACGCTTGAAGATGCCTGGAGAACTGTCAGTGGCAACATGCTTTGCACCACTACCTCTATCTCCTTCCTCAATGTCTCTACTGTAATTTTGCAGAGACTAACAAGACTGTTGTGATTAGTAATCAGCGAACTGAACGATTAGTAACCAGGAACCGACCGTTTGCGAGCAGGGAGGGTAGAAGAGGAGAAAAGTTAAGTGCTTCTTGCGCGGCTGGCTTTTCAACACCATTATTAGTGGCGCGACTATTCAACTCTCTTTAATTTCTCATCCAACTTTCTCCCCAGTATTCTGTTCTGAAAGGCGTTCAATGATGAAATTCAAGATCTGCTTGATGAACCGATTTTCACTGTTTGGATGGCCCACCGAGGTGAGGAGGAAGGAGTTCATGGAGGAGTGTTCACCTATGGAGGCTTTGATAAAGAGAACTGTGGGCCGATAATTGCCTACGAGCCACTCACTTCGGCTACCTACTTCCAGTTCAAGGTGAGGCGCCCAACGACTTCTGTTAGCTTCATAGCAGCTGTAATGATATTGTTAGTAGGGAAATAAGCCTATAACGCATTTGGTATCTGAAATATCTGGTTGCCGAGCTTTTACCTTTCGACTTAGTTGACGACCGCGTTCCCTCGTATAAAAGCTATTTCTTCGAACCCGAATGCATAACCCAGATGGATAGGTCCTCCTACAACTAAAACCTATCAAGTTGTAGATGAAAGCGATCGGAGTGGGAAGATATAAGAGCAAGGTGCCATATGAAGTCATCTCCGATACCGGCACATCTTTCATTGGAGGACCAAAGAGTATCACTGACAGACTGGCAAGAGCTGTTGGAGCAAAGGTGAGCATTTTCGGAAATTTCAACAATCCAACCCTATCACAACAACATATCCCAAAATATGACAACAATCTAAAGAACGTCCACTAAATTAGGTTATTTATCGCTCGAATTACGCTAGGACCATGTCAAACTTGCCGCGTTCATGATAAAAGCTTATTCCTGCAACAAAATGTGATTATTCGACTCGAAAATGAGATTATTACGAAGGGGATAGCCAGTAAAAAACAATCGAGGCTCCGAAAGCACTGGGATCAAAAAGTCTCCTTCTTATGTCAGTGGGTAGCGCTATTTCGTCGGGCACTGAAGAGAGTTTCTTTGCCGAGCTCTATTAAAAGAATCGTCCCCGGCAAATCCTTGCATTCTTCACCAACATGAATATGTCAATTATGATCAC